TGGTCTGTAACTTTTCAGATGAGTGCTAAGTGGCCAGTGGGGAGGGGGGGTTTATTACTTTCTGACTATCTCCTGTTGCTGGAGGTTTTATTGACTCTATTTCATTTATTTTTAATAGGAGCCCTTTATGGGAGCTGTTATATATATCCATTTCATTAGTGAGGAAATTGAAGTTTAGAGAGGATGAGTACATTTATTTCCCAACACTGTAGTTTGTGAGAGTTTCAACATGGATTTCTCTTCACTGTTTCCCCACTGTGGAGTGCTGACTCTGCCAGGACTTCTGAGCCTGGTGATTATAAACTTAGTATGGATGCCACCAACCAAACACAGCTGTTTACTTTTAAATTAAGATTGAGTTCGAGAGAAATTTAGTTCCTTAGTTGTGCTGGTCTTGGGCTAAATGCTTCATACCCACCCAGTGTGCATCATATCAGACCATGCAAATATGGAACGCCTGCATTGTAGCTCATCATAGAGTCCCTTTGGATAGAGGAGCTGTTTTAGAGTTTTACATTAACTCTTCATTCTAGCTACCTATATTTAGAAACAAAGTTTTTAGGGGAAGCACCTGCCTGGGAAGTCAAGACTCCTTAAGCCTAAGGGTGATGTGTCTGAGGCCTCAGGGTAGTGTCGGTGCTGTGTCGCACTCTATGGCCCTGACAGAAGTGACTCTTGCGTGTGCTTTCTGTGCTGATCTTCTGAGGAAAGCTCCAGGAGACAGGAAGGGGCTGTAGTGGCCGCCTCCTCACAGGAACACAACTTTAATTGGGCTTCCCCAAACACTTCCTGGAAAAGAATTTTTGTGCCTCAATTTCCTTTCTCAAGTTTCCCTCAAAATCCATTCCCTACTTTTTGAACTGTGTTCTCTTTTCTGATGTGACATCTTCGCTTTTTGTGCCTGTAGGCCCCTTATGTGTCCTTTTTATACAGTAACTTGTCATCTCTCTCTCCCATGCTGCTTCTTCAGATCTTCTGTCTTTCTATGTTTTGTTGGAAAATAATATTTCAGTTCTAAGATACAGTGTCAAGGGTATACTCAGATCTCAGCCCACACACATATCTTAGCATATTCCTGTGTGTCCTTCTGCTGTACCAAGTGGGATGTTGGTAGCAGGACTGTAAGGAGAGTTTGACCCAGAGTAAACATGGTTGTCAATTAGCTAAATGTGTAAGGCTTTCAGAGGAAGTAAAGTGCATCTGTGTGTGTGTCTGTGTGTGTGTGTGTGTGTGTGTGTGTGTGTGTGTGTGTGTGCACGCGCATGCGTGCACACCCGTATTGGGGAAACTTAGTCTTCATTTTATGCCTTGAAAGAATTTCTTAGAAGTGTCTAAACATGCAAACAACTTTTAAGAAAATCCAGGAAATATATTTGCTAATAGCAATAAAAACATTTTAAAGTGATTCTATTTATTTATTTTTTCATGTTTGTTTGTATTTATTTCTATATTTGGGGGTTTATGTGCCATGTGTTCGTTTGTGTGGGGCATCCTTCCTCTCCACGGTGTGGTCACCGGGATCAAGTCCGTGTTGTCAGGCTCAGCTGGCAGAGATGCCTTTACCTGTCTCAGTTGCCCCAGTTGGCAAATATTTTAAATTTAAAGCTTTTACAGGTCCACATCTGTAAAAGATGTTTTTATTCCATCTAGTGTTTTTATTCCGTTAAGTTGTCACTCTGAATGAAAGAATTGACCTCCCATATCCTCATCTGATCCACGACTTCACAACTAGAGGTCAGTGTTAACATGCTACCTGATTAAATGTCTCAGGTGTGAGTCTGAGGCCAGTTACATATTTACCCAACTTTTATGAGGGCCAGATCAGAAAGTAGATGAAAAAGAAGTTCCTAAGAACTATTTATTTCAGCATGAACTGCTTAATTCTACATTTGAATTTAAAAAGTATTGATATTTCTCCTGCGTAGTAACTATGTGTGAACAGTGTATCTGTTAGGCCAGAGTGAGAATGAACTTGCACCTTTTACGACCAGCTGAGTTCTTTCTTACAGCTTTTCCAGAAAAAGTAGAAAAACTTGCTATTCAAAGTAAACTTCAGTCCTCAGAAATGGAAACATGATGCCCTTGTCATTTCCATATAGATCTCGCCTTACAACGTTGACAACAGTGTGCATTGTGTTTCTCTAACCAGAATGTCTTACCTTCTTAAAAAACTGTGCTCCCTATTCGTAAATATGAAACCCAAAATAGTGACTGAAAAGTCATGGATTAAACCCATGCACAGCATTGGATCAAAGACCAGAAAGCACATCCCCCTCTACTTCCAAAACCCTGCTGGGTTCCTTTCCCAGTTCTTGCTCCTTTAAGAATAACTCTTGGATCCCAAGTGAGAGAGCTCACAGGGGCACAGTTCTAGAGCATTCTTTCCACTTTGACATTTTCAAAACTTCTCTCTGCTTCTCAAAGGTCTTTGGAGCCTGTGGATTTAAACTATTTTATTAGAGAATATTAAGATGACTTTCTTTGGAGTCCAGTTTTAGATGTTGCCATAAAATGATCAACTTGCTTTTTCCAATGTTATGAGTTTAATTTCTCCTTAGAAGCATACCTAAATGTTTGTTTTAAATACCTAAACAATACTTAAAAAATCAAGTTGAAGTTAGCATCAGAAATGTTTTAATACAGGATGAACATCCTAATAAAAACAGCAAACTGTGAAATACTCTAGAATCAAAGACTTTTTAATAATCATCTTGATACCACAAGTGGAAAATTCTACTCAATCTCATATAATTGATTGGAGTAAAAGAAATGCCCAGAAACCAAACATTTTATATAAAATTGGGGCCAGTGAGATGGTTCAGTAGTGACTCACTGAGTAAAGGGTTATACAACATAATAATCAAACAAATAAATAAATAATGATTTTTTAAATTAAAATGACCTCCAAGCTATGTGTACAAGGTTTATAGGCAGCAAATGAGTTTTGTATTTGTAATTGGGTCCTACCCTCATGCTGTCTTGCTATGTATATGCAAATATTCCAAGATCTGAAACATGCCTGGGTTTCAGATATCCTTCTTATGTGTATTTGCGTTTTTCTATCTTCATTAGACTCTGGTTTTATAACAGTTTAAACACTGTGCTTCGTCCATGAGAACACTGCATTTGCTCATTGACTTTCAAACTCCGTTCTCTTCTGAGAATTACTTTTCAGTTCATCAGGTTTTGGACCTCCACATGAAACACTCATTTGGCAGTAGCTTTTTGTCAGGTTTTATGTCCTCCGGACAAATAATACAAGAGCATAAAATTACTTATTGACTATGGTATGGATTCAGCACATGATTAGATTTTTCAGTCGACCTAAAGAAAAGATGAAAGTCATGCTGGCCTCCAGGCAGTCCTGCCTGCTTCTGTGGGGAGCTGCAAGCGGCCCGCACCGTGGAGACTGCAATCTATCTTATTTAGCAAAGTTGAATTCTGAGTTCTCATAGTGATTAGTGACTTACATTAGTAAGTTTCATGGTTTTTAAAATTAATCTGCATACCTTTTGGCTTAGAAACTTTTTTGTTTTAGGTTTTGAAGTCTCTCATGCTTTTAAACAAAGATATGATTTATAACCTCAAATATATCTTAAATCAAGAAACTAGTTATTAAATTTAAAGTCAGCCAGAGGCAGCTACCTGTGGTATTAAGTAGTCTAGTGCCCATGTGTAAGGCATGGAAGACTGTCCTTTTACACAGACAGGAAGTACCTGGGGACACCTGAGTGATTTGTGCCTACCTGACATAATATTCACGTGGAGACATTTAAGTCCCTGTTTTCTCCTGAGCCTCTCTTTTAGGATTCAGTGTAAGGCTGCAATGACCTTCTGAGCATGGGAGTCTTCCTCTGCCTTTTGTCCTGTGATCTGTGCAGCTGCTTGCTTTGTGAGTTCTAACTCCCTAGACCCTGGAAATGTCTGCGCCAAGTAAAGCTGCTTGGTAATCAAGAAAGGGCTAATAAAGAGAGCTGTTTGGATCTACTGGTAATCTTGTTGTGCTAACCAGTGATTTTCTCAAGTTTCAGATGCTTTTTATATTTAAAATTCCCCATGTTTTCTCCCGATTTTGGACAAGGTCTATACATAATTGATTTGTACATGGTTTGAGGTAACAGGATGATAGCCGTGAGGTATAACAACAGCTACACTTACAGAGTTCAAACTTTTAATTGCAACCAAAAATATGTTCAGATTCTTTGAATTTGAAGCTGTGTTGAGAATGTGTTTCCTTAGCAGCAAGGTGTACCTTAATCTGAGCCTCTCTTCCTCTCCAGTCTCTTAAGCTCTGTTAAAAATATGTGGTTTTAGGCTCTGAACCTTTTTCAATTGGACACTAATGAACTGACCTTATTTAAAAGTGAAACTCTAAGCATGGTGACTCTGTTGTGCGTAAGTTATATCTCAGTGAAGCTGTTATTACAAAATAAATATATATTAAAGGCATTTTCAGTGGTATTGTAATCAGCTTTTTTTTAATACAGGAAAGTGAGAACACATGCTCATTTATTTATAAAGTTCTGAATAATGGAACTTCCAGAGTGTATTATGTGTTCCTGTTTTTTATTTAACTTAGAAAACTGTGTTTGGCATAAACATGTGACTTAATGAGAAAAGAAAGCTATCTCCTTAGACAACCTAAGAAAGTTGAAGTTAAGCTAGGCGGTGGTGGCACACGCCTTTTATCTGAGCACTTGGGAGGCAGAGGCAGGTGGATCTCTATGAGTTTGAGGCCAGCCTGCTCTACAGAGCAAATTCCAGGACAGGCTCCAAAAGAAAAGGAAAAGAAAGCAAAAGAAAGTTGAAGTCTTACTCTCGGCACTCAGCATGCTGCCAGAGAGAAAAACTGGACGTTGTGCTGAAAGACTCCACTTCCTGCCTGTTCCTCTTGCCTGGTTCTTTGCTATGGGCTGAGATCAGGCTGGGGGAGAAAGTCAACACACTGCTGGATTCTTTATCATGGGCTGATATTGAAGATATTCCTTTTATCATTACAGAAAGCTGTATCCCCGCACACGTGGTGGCTGCTATTGATGTGAATACTGTTGCTAATGAAGTATACAAGCATAATTTTCCTCACACACATTTACTGGCAAAGACTATTGAAGTGAGTATATATTATTATTTTAATATCAGTAAAAATGCATATTACTAACAATTTCTAAATACTGCTTTCTGGTGGCTTAATTGGAAAATAAGTCATGCAAATAAAATTTTAGGAGAAGAATGAATGTTTTAAATTCTATCAAAGAAAGTAAATTATTTAAAACACTCAAAGAGTGAAGTCACTATTTGGTCTCTGAAAGAAAAGATTGGCATGAACACAACAGGAGTGGAGATAGCAAACTGTAATGGTCACATTCAGTTCCTAGCTCTGTAATACAGCACGTGGTAACAATAAGGAAGGGTTCCTTGGCTATTACTTTTTGAATGCTCATTAACAAACTTGTCAGAGTTAATATACTTCACCAATCATGGACTCTGTTTTGAAACGAATATGAGCAGTAGATGACCAAAACAAAATTAACTCAATAGTAAGTATTTTTGGAGATTTTGTCTTATAATGCTTTGGTTGGACTTTTTTTTTTTCTTTCTTGTCTTTTGCTTATCTCCTATGGTTCCCAATTTTTGTTTATGTCAGTTTGTGTGTATTTCTTATGCTTTTTCTTTCTTTTCTTTCTGCATGTTTGTTCTATTTTATTCTGTTTTTTCTTTTTTTAAAAGAACTTTTATTATTGGCCTGCTTGTTTTCTAAAGAAAAAGAAGGTATATAATTGAATGGGGAGGAAGGTGGGGAGGATCTGGGAGGAGATAAGGAAGGGAAACCATAATCAGAATAAACTGTATGAAAAATGTTTTTTAATAAAAATAAATAAGAACACCTTGTTTCTTTCCTATTGTTTGTTTGTGTGTTTGTAAAAGAGAGACATTGTGCATACAGCGGCACATGCGTGCATTTGTGTGTATGTGCGTGTGTGTAGGTCAAGGGACAACTTGGAGGTATTGATTTTCTATTTGCACCATGTGGTTTCTGAGAATTGAACGTCAGGCTTGGGGGCGAGTACGCTCCTTTACCCATTTTCTTCCTGTGGAAGACTAGCAACAGCAAGTGTCTGCTGATGTGTGAGTGTTCTCACTGAGACACTGATGGATGTAATGTAAGATTTATTAAAGTTCTTTGCGAAACTTCCGTTATCTCATAACTTTGCAGATAATTGTCACACAGCCCAGTAATTTCATTCTGAGTTGTTTATCCACAGGGCAGCAAAAGTAAACCCAACAGAGCCCAATATTTCTTACTGTGAAATATTGAAAAATAAGGCCTCAACTTCTTATTGTAGAAATTTTACATGCAAAATTCTCCTGAAGCTGTCAGTTATGCACAGTAATAGGGCATCCATGTGAAGTGTGCAGTTTATTACTTAGCTACATTTGTTTTCTGTATGAAACTTATTTGTTCAGAATGGATATAACAAATATTTTCTCTAATTCTATAGCCTGCCTTTTTATTTCTTTAGCTATTCCTGTCAAAGAGCAGAAGTTATAGTTGTAGAAATTTTTTTCCTGCACAGAAATTTTTTCAGTGTATTTGGTGAAATCTTTTCATTTTCAAAATTTTTCTATTTTTTCCCCTAGATTTGTAGATTTGGGTTTTACATTTGGAACTATGATCCATTCACACTTACTTTTTTGCATACAGTATGTAGAATGGGCTAAATTTTTTTACCATAAGGGAATGTAAAATCTATCATTTGCTGAAGGTAGTCTTTTAGTCAGTTCCCGTGACATGTTATAAGGAACAGATCACATATTTATGGGTGCATCTTTGGGCCCTTTTCTCAGTAGGACGAATATATCAGTTCTTACTTCAATAACCCAAGGCTTTGATAGTGGTAGTTTTTAATACATACTAAATTCAGGCAATGTAAATTCTGTTGGATTATTGCCATACTTACCTAGGTTCTCTACTTGGTATAAGTGACTCTTGATCTTACGTAAAATCTGGAAATTATATCTTCTTAGTAACTGTTCTCTCCTTGGTAGATGTTCTTTGTTCCATCTTATGGTGTCGTGACTGCTGTGTGCACAGACTGACCCCAGAGGTTCAGTGAGGCAGCTGTGCAGATAATGTGTGCTTCCTTCATCCTGTGACACATTCTAGTCACCCTGACCTCTTTCTTGTCTCTCCTCCACTGTTTAGATTACTTGGTTCTGTTTGGGAGTTGCCTCCCTTCACTGCTGTCTAGAAATAATTACTTAGCAGAAGCTGTGGCAGTCGTTAAGATCCTACTTTAATTTTTCAGTCTCTTCCCTGCAGTGGTATCCTGCTCTAACTGAAGTCTACTACATGCTAACAACAGTAGCTCTTACATTTAATACAGCTTTCTAGGGCTTCTAAGGTTGTTTTGGCTTTTTTAAAAATGAAGGTAAAGTTGTTAGAAGTTAAACTCTTAAAGAATTTCATTGTAGTCGTCCACTGCCAAGATCTTTCAACCTTTCTATCCCCTCTTCTAAGATGACCTCCAACCCTTGGGAGTGCACATATGCACACACGTGCGAGTGAGGGGGGAGGAGACAAAGGTCTCACTTAAGGCTGAGCACACCATAGTCTTTTATTTGTCACTTTAGCAGGGTAGGAGTAGCAGGTCCTCACCCAAGGCCCATCGTCTGTCTAGATACGGATTATTGGCCCTGACTACAGTGCAAGGTATGATAATAACTAATAAGGTGCCTGTCATAAGCTTCATGGCCAACCAGAATCAGTTTAGCCTTCTCATCATGAAGGTAGCAGAATAAACACATTCAGAACAAGAATACCCAAAATATGTAATTCTGAGTTGAATGTACAGACTTCGGTAAATTTAGGTTTCATAATTTCTGTGAGATAGCAAATGGCAGCACTGGTTATTATCTTATTAAAAACTTTTATTACAAAATCAAATTTAATATAAATATTTTAAAGTAGATGTAACCAAACATAATCTGAATCAACAAATTCTTAACTTTCAACAATTTAATATCCTGTCTGTTCTACTCTTTAAGAGAAATGATGAGAAATTGTGTGTATTTGAACCTATTGCAATCCTCAGATATATACTAATAGAAGCTTAAGGAATTCAAACTTTAATTATATTTCTTTGCTAGTTTTAATAGATATGGTAAATCATTATATATGCACAGTCTATAAAATTATTGGAAACAAGAAAAGGGGCTGGGAGAGCAATTCTAGCTCACTCACATTCTTACTTTGTGTGAGCCTGCTGGGCAGGGACAAAGCACATCGCCATGCCATACAGTAGATGCCCAAACTCACTCCAGTGGCTTCGTGCTCTCCCACCACTGTTTTTCAACCAGTTTACTCTTTGCCTCTATGGTTTGACTTTTCCAGTTAACATATGCAGGTGAGGTCATAAAGTATCAGCCAGAATCTAACTTAAGAGAAAACCCTGGTTTACCTTGTGTCTCCATGGATCAGCACATGGGGGCTGTGTCCTGCTTAAGGTATGAGGACAGGGTGAGTGGGAGACCAAGAAGTGGAAGAGTGCTTGGTACAGAGAGAGAGAGGGGCGGGGAGGAAATTCTTCCAGTCTACTCCTCCTCTCTCTAGCAGACACTAGCAGGTGACTTGTGACAGGCATTGTCAGATGGAGAGAGGAAGTCATTTAGGACGGCGAATGCTGTGGAAGGGGGGCAGTAATTGGAGTGCAAGAGCACGACTGTCCACGGTGGCAAGATCGCGACAGCAGCTCCCTTCGGAGACTGGATATGGTCTTGGCTGTGCACCAGGCCAGTCCTGAGGAAGACAACTTTTTCCACAAAGCCTGCCAGAAAAGTCTTCGTTATCATCTCTGGTCAGGCTGAGATATTACACAGGTTCATAACCAGTGGCAGAATTCCTTTATCAAAAAGCTGTAGATAAAACCAAAGAATTTAGCTAGCAAGTGAGAAATTCCTAATGACTAGTGTGTAAATGTCATGAGCAGACTCCTCACTGGGCTTGCTCATTGTTGTATACAACAATGCCTGCCATGTAAATGCTACTCGGAAATAGTAATGGATTGATTTATAAAAATTGCTAAATGAACTAACATACTGTGCATATAAAGTGGCAGAGAAATGCCATGAAATGCTGATAAAGGATGGAAGGTGGTCAGAGCTGACAGTAGATAGATGACTAAATGGTAACTGATGCATGAAATTCGTTCACAGGGCAGGGCAGGGTAAGGACTAGCCAGCGTAAGCTTTCACTGTTTATCAGTTCTACCCTACAAGATAGGAATACCATTGTCTTACGAGTACAGACTCCATAGTTACAAACAAAACATAAACAGGTTGATGAAAACTTATCTGAAGGATGCTCACAGTGGACCCAAAGTGAGCTTTCTCTTAGAAATGCAGCAGTGTCAAAAGTAAGGATTGTCTTGATAGAATTAATGAGATCATGCTGGAAAAGAGGAAAACTGTGTCTGAGAGTATTCATAAAATTTGGTGTTTTTTACTGAACATTTTAATCTCTTGTAATAAAATTCAAAAATATGAGCACATCTCAAGATTCATATGTTATTTCCTGGCCTTATACATGTCACTAACTTTTCATTCAGTGGCAACAGCTGACATGTTCCCAATTTCATTCACCCTTCATAGAATCCAGAGCATAAACTTTCCCAATTTATCAAAATACTTATGCTTGTTAGAGATTTGTTATAATTACTAGGGAGGTTGTGATACTGGGCTATTCTTTTTATATTTCTGGCCAAGAGTGCTTGATGAGAATTGGCAGTGTTTCTCATTGTTGTACATATATGTGGGTTTTATATGCATGTGTAAATGGAGCCGATTAGGGGTCATTTTAATTAATCTTGTCCTATTACTATTACTCTGCTAAATTGACATAATACTAAGCTGACCGTTCTGGCTATTCATTACATCACACCTTGGAAACAGAGAAGCACATTGATAGATGGATGCTTAAAGATTCCCCAGCCCTTTGCCAAATCTGGTTACTTACAAAATAAAGTTCTACTTGGTCAAGTCCAAAAACAGCAGTGTTACACCTGAGACCTAAAGGGACAGGTGTTGTGGAGGAAGCCAGTGTTTTCCTGACAAGATTGCGTTGGGAAATCAGTGTAAAGCACGGTGTTAGGTAAACCTACGATGTCTGATTCCTTAGTTCTAATTGTTTAGTACTTCCTCTTTTCATTCTGTGCATGTTTTCTTTCTTCCAAATGTTCATTCCTTAGGGTATTTCACTGGAAGAGTTTGACAAGCTATCTTTCAATATGATTTTAATGAGCCCTCCATGTCAGCCATTCACAAGGTATGTATAATAAATATTTTCTATTAAGGAAGAGTTTGTGTGGATTGAGGATATAGCTCAGTGGCAAATACTTGCCTAGCATGTAGGAGGCCCTGTGTTCAAATCATGACACACACGCATACATCCCTCACCACAAATAGGAAAAGAAAGGGGAGAGACAGCAGAAGGGAAGAGGGGAAGCATGAAGATCTTTGAAGACCCTCGCTGCACGTTCACAGCTTTACAGTACTTTGTAAATGTATCCTTCCCTGCACTCATATTGTAATCCAGCACCAAGCATAGGAATTGACAGTGACAGTCAGAAGAGCAAGATAATTTGTTCAGTAGTAAATGTCTAATACTGTGTTATAGGTATATCTAAGGTACATTTATTTTTGTTTCAAATTACCATAATTCCTATAAACTGTTGAGCATTCAGAGCCAATTCTTATCAGTGAAACTGAATTTTCCTCAGAAATATTTCATTTGTAAATTACTTATGTAAAAAATTGAAAGCCAGTTTAGCATATATTTGCAAATTGTGTATTTCTCAAAATTAACATGATAATTTAGATTTTTCATAGCCACATTATAATTTCTAATTTCAGATTTATTCAGTAATTGTTAACAATGTGTCTCGAGGAATTGTGTCTTAAACCAAATTTATTTTCTGTAATAAGATATATTATTTTTAAGTAGCAATATTAATAGAGTCTTAATCTTACTATTATTTTGTAGGTGAGAAACTGAGGCATAGAAAGTTTAGCTTTCCCATGACTATACAGATAGACAAAGGTCAGAACCATTGTTTCTTAATCATTGATATATTTTGTATTAATATGGCTGGCTGAAGTGTTATATGTAATACATATTTTGATTTAGATGAATAATCTTGTGCTGTAACATCTTTGAACTTGAGGAAGCTTGTCTCCCTGAGGGTTCTTGTGCCCGGATGCCATGTAGTGTGTCTGATGTTGTAGTTCCTGATCTTTGGAGTTTATAATTGAAAAGAATGGCTCATAAATTAGTGTTACATAACAGTGACATTTGGTGCTGTAAGAGCCCTGCAAGACCACGAGAGCACTGAGGAGAAAGTGGCGTGGGTCAAGCCCAGAGAGGGGAATTCTTCCAGAGTTTCGATTCGAGCTGTGAGGAAGCGGGGTGGGAGTTTATTGGAGAAGGCAGAGGACCCTCCATGGGAAGGTGGCTTTAAGCACGTGGGGGCCTGTGGCCTAGTGTGCACAGAGCAGAAGTCAGCCCAAGGACATGTACTGCTGCAGTGACCCAGGGTCTTCCCTCCTGCCATCTTCCCTGTAGGTTAGCCTAACTCTTTCTGCTGCAGCCCCGATTTCATAGTTGATATCTGAGCTCTGGGTGGAAAGGGAAAGAATATAGAACTGAAGATTTCTGAGGACTCTGTTTAAGACCAGTTTAGTCTCCAGTCTTTAATCTCAGACCCGCTGATAGACTGATAGAGATGTCACGTAGCTTAGGATCATGGAAACCCTGACCCTCTGGTCCTGTTTTCCATACCCCATCCTGGTGTTCCTTTCTACTTGAACCTTGGCCATGCTGTGAACTTTGTCCACTGTGTTTGCTAGCCCAGTGCTGCCTGATTCCATGTGCTGACCCTAGGTTGTCTAAACCCTGAGATCAAGGGTCTGTTTACACCGGGACAAGATTATCTCAGTGTCCCTTCTTGTCCAGTCTGCTTAAATGGCGGTTATCACCAATGTCGTCTACTGGGATCACCACCTACCCAACCAACTTGTTTTCCTTTCTTTTCGGTTTTGTTCCTTGGGGTAAAGATCAACTTATTTGAATTCTTTTAACTGACTAAATCTTTTTGGTATCATTATGTAAAATTTTTGATAAACTTCTTTTGTGTTTTCTTTGCTCTTTTTAGAATTGGCCTACAGGGGGATATGACTGATCCAAGGACAAATAGCTTCTTGTACATTCTAGATATTCTCCCAAGGTAATTTAGATTTTTGCAATTTTACCTTAAATTTAAAGCTATGAGTATTGGAAGAATGTAATGCTTGTCATTCTGTAGAGATTAGGGGTTGCCACATGCCCCCTTCTTCTGTCACAGTTAATAAAATGACAACAAATGTTTTAGAATTGCATACTTGCCTCCATAGTGAGTGACGGAGCTGTCAGGAGCCAGCTTACCTTCGCTCCTGCTACTCATTCATTCTAGTCATGCAGATGTTGCCGGTGCCGGTGATCGCTGCCATTGGGCTGAATGGCAGCCCTGGGAGTCATGCAGAAGCCCGTGAGAGCCAGATTATGAGCTATGCTTCAGTGAAAGTTAGCTCTTCAAGTGTGAACTTTTTCAAGTATAGAATGTCTTGGGAAAAATGAATAAAATAGGGTTTAAAATTCATTTTTTTAAAATCTAGAAAGTTACTTAAGCCTCCATTTCTTACAAGTTGTGATTTTCTTTTTACTTCTTTGTAATAAAATATTTGTATTTCTATTTGTTTTGGTTTGTAGATTGCAGAAATTACCCAAGTATATTCTTCTAGAAAATGTTAAAGGTTTTGAAGTATCATCTACAAGGTAAAGCGTGTATTTGTCTTGCACATGTCTTAGACTTGGGGGAGAAGAGAGACAGAGAACTGTGATCAGGGTATAATATATGAGAGAAGATTAAAAATATTTGCTATATTGAAAAATAAATTAAAAACAAAATGCAATTTCTCAGGTAATGACTTGGGAGACTTGTCTCTAAATGGCTTTAGTAGAGTTGGGTTTTTCTTGCTGATGAAGTGTTATGTGTGTTGTTATATAAGGATGCCATGTCTAAGCAAGAGCTGGGTCTTTTCTCTTTCCAGAGAGCTGCTGATACAAACAATGGAAGCCTGTGGTTTTCAGTATCAAGAGTTTCTGTTATCTCCTTCCTCTGTAGGTATCACAATTGCAAACCCTTAGATGAGTGATCATTTAAGGACTTCCCCGCCCCAGGGAATTTAATGTAATAAACAATATAGATCTATTTTTAATATTTCATATGAGTGTTAAATTGACTCAGACATGACTATTAATTTCTGAAGAACACAGTTCATGCTTGTTGATTTACCTGTACATAAAATAGGTTCATTTAATATCATGCATCTTTCTTTTTGGAAAATAAACGATTGTAGGTTTTGAAAATAAATGGAGTTTTACATGTTTGAATTAGGTGTCTTGTGTAGTCCAAGATTGAAAGCAAAGTGGACATATTATTTATAATTCCTTGTTGTTAAATGACATTAGATTGCAAGCACTGTTTTCATTTCATGTAAGAAATCAAAGCACTTGCTATTTGAAAGATTGATGTTGTAAGTGTTGCTGTGTTTGCCATTCCTTTTAGTTTCTTAACATCGTTAGCTATATTATATAGCTCTTTGTGCACAGATGAAAAGAAAACCTAGTTTAAAAACTAAATATATATGTTGTCAGGACTTGCAGTGTAACTGATCTCTTTAACTGTATTTCTGATCATTGCTTCTTCTAGAGTATAGTAAATCCTCCTCTTTAAAAGTAAAAGTAAGAATAGAAGAAGTCTTCCAAAAACTCAGTAGCTATATTTGCTCTGGCACAAATAAGGGGCATATCTGTCTGCATCTTGATGCTGAAGTTGCTATAAATCTCCCAAATTTCATATGGTAACTAGCCTTTCTGTTTTGCTTGCAGCTTGGTATTCCAAACTCGAGGCTACGATATTTTCTCATTGCAAAGCGTCAGTCAGAGCCTTTACCTTTTCAGGTCCCTGGTCAGGTATTGTTGCTGCTGCTGCTATTACTGTTTACTCGTGAGTGAATCTCAGTCTGCCAGTTTCTTCTCAGTACCTACTTAGGCTTCTGTGCCTGTAGAGTTTAAAATACAGGTCTTCTTTATATCCGTTTCCAGGCCTCTGCTTCTCCTGGTGTTTACTTTTATCTCTCTTCTCTCTTTGGTTTACTTTTCACTAAGCTAAATAGAACTAAAGCTCACAAAGGCTTTGTAAGTTTGAAAATTATCATTAGCATTGTTATCCTTGTCTCCCCCATAACTTCCAGGACCACTGACTTTTGCATTTGTCAGTTTCTCTTCCACTTAAAGCCTTTGATTACTTCTGCTAAAATATAGTGTGCGGTCTTTAAAATGGCCTCTTTAAACATATTTATTGTACTTTCCCTGATGCCAATTTTATTTATCTTAATTGGTTAAAATGTAGTAATCATTAGTATAAGCTAACATCAAATTTTCAACTACTAAGTTGAGATTCTTGGTAAGTAATTTTATGTTTTCATAAGAAATGAGGAAAGATAACAGAGTTGCAGTGGCTCAGAGTTTTCCACATAACCATCCCCAGTACAGCTCGGAAGCCAGTGGTCTGCTGTGAAGACGGTCATCATTTTGACTCTCCAGTGACAGATGTTCTTTCTGTTTGGGTGGTTCAGAAACAACGTGAAAAGTGTATTAAGGAAGACTTACATTAGAAATTCCTTGAGTATTTTTCTCAGTTGTAAAATAGAAGTTTATATGAGATTATGAGTTACTATATCAAATCATCCACAGTGCCCACCGCACCCCCATGGGACGTGAATATTCTCAGTGAAAAGCACTGTGAGTTTGTTTTCTAATTGAGGATGTTGCAGCATTTCCTTTTTAATGGAGGAGTTTGGTAATCTTCAGTTCTCTGCACATTTTCCAATGTCAACATTGCTTTTTAAACTTCTTTCCCCCTTGTGCTGCTGTTTATATTTTGTGAGCTTTTCCATTAATAAGCACACCAAACAGGAATTCCGTGAAATAAATCCTCTGCAGCTCTCTTTCTGTATGGCTGTATGACTAATAACTTCTGACAACAGCTCATGTAAATACAAGCAGATCACTATGTTTATCTGTTTAATGTCAACCTTATAAAGACTAAAAAGATTTCCAAGTGTTCAGTTAATATTATTGATTTGTCTCTTATTTTAAATAAAACTTTTGACAGTTTTTATTTTCTAATTTAATGCCAGATACTGATGGAGTTTCCTACAAGTGCAACTATGCAGCCACAAAACTGTTCAGTAGTTGCAGAAAATAAACTACGAGAGGAGAGTCCTGAACCAAGCACCTGCTTTGGTAGCAGCAGCACACAGCGTTCAGGAAAAGATACCATTCTTTTTAAGCTTGAAACCGCAGAAGAAATGGACAGGAAGCACCAGCAGGACAGCGACCTCTCTGTGCAGATGCTGAAAGAGTTTCTTGAAGATGATGACCCAAGCCAGTACCTTTTACCACCAAAGTTATTGCTGCGATATGCTCTTCTATTGGATATCGTGAGGCCCACGTCCAGGAGGTCCATGTGCTTTACCAAAGGGTAAGTTTGAAAGTGATTCCCTCTGTGCTCTATCTAAAGTAATCATGTTTCATAGCTAGTCTTTTAGTTCTCAGAGCAAGAACTGTTTGATAAAATGTTTCTCTTAGACTGACTTTTTTCCTAATTGCCAGTAGAGCATGCGTGAACATTCCTCGCACAGAACATTCTGTACACCACCCACAGAGTGTTCGTGGAAGACAAGGCCATTTGCGAATGACCTTTGTATAGCTTCAATACTTGTCTTAGCATGATTTCTGCAGTTTGTGCATTGGTAACATTACATTTCTTTCTCTGAGACACATCAAACCTCAAGAGTGATGTCTATTACTATATTGAAAGAAATTATGTTTTACTTTAAGGAAATAAAATTGAATCATCCAGTTACAATTTAAAATTTACTTGGATTTTTAAATAGATAATGAATTCTCATGTTCCAAAATTCAAAAGTTACTGATATTATAAAACTCCCTATGTCATCTGTCTCTTGGCCATCTGTTGTATTTTGCCAGCCTGTGGTATCAATATACTATATGGCCTTCCAAAGGTGTTGCTATTAATATTGCTTCCTGGCATGAACATAAAATACTTCTCACCATGGCAACAATACCCCTACTACAAATGCTCCAGCCCCAAACTGAAGCATGATTCCACCGAAGTTCACTCTTGAGAACCAATGAGTTTATTGGGCTTCCTTCCAGAGCACAGAGGAGGGGTTACCTAAAGGGGTGCAAGTACTCCTGACTCCCAACAGGCTGCATCTGGGAAGCCTTTAACAGTAAGGATCATGGCTTGCCTGCATCTGCGCAGATCGAGGTCCTTTATCTAGTCTTCCCTGGCTATGTACTCGAGTTCTTCCCGACGCCATCAGCAATGAAGGCAGAGTTGCACAGCACATTGGTAGGGAGCAGTGGATACTCAGGTGACATCTGTGACCCTTCCCACCCTTCTACGAGGAACAAAACAGTCAACAGGCCTAGCTGGGGCACTCTTTTCTTACGAGGGCAGAGGTGAATTTCCAAAATGGTGGCTGCTGGCTTAGAGGAGAGCCACTCATAATCTTCTCTGGATATTATTGCCATGGAATATAAGAATGCCTTGGATGTTCATGGTGAAAGAGGAGTGTAATTTGTTTTGTTAGTTACCTACAGTTGAACATTTAGTGTTTTATTTTGGGTTGTTCCCTGACTTACGATAATTTTTTTGACAATTTTTAAAAAACAGGGTGATGGGGGAAATTGATTAGGAAAAAAGTTAAAAATGCTGTCTCTGTTTGGTGCACGCCCCTCAGCTTCACTCTCTGTGATGTGACAATTCCGACCGTCTTCTTGCCCGCTAGTTGTTAGGCTGGGGAAAGGCGCTGCTGTCCTATAGGCACATAGACTCGGGCTGACTTTATGGTCTGCTGCTGTGTTCCAGGAGGACTCAACTGTTGTCCATTACCAGGGCCAATAGGTTCTGGTTAAGACTCTCATAAAATAATACTTACCAGTTTGTAATAAAAGCAACCTTGGTGCTCTTTTATAATAGAGATGATGTAAAGGAAGCCTCACTGTGACACTTCTGCGTCTTCTGCTAAAGATGGCGGTGCACACGTCTAAACGTGCAGCACATATGAGGAGACAGAGGGAAACAGTTACTCTTCCCTGATGTACTTCTCTAGTTTATACTTTAAATTGTCCTTACTGTGAAAAGAGAGTGCTCGTGATGGAAAGCCAACTTGTCAACAACAGAAAAATAATACTATCCCTTTCATTTCTGAAGTATTTTATACTTCTTATGTAATTTTAAACTAATTCTTAAATGAAGATGCTAATAAGAGAAAAATGGGTGAATGAGAGTTAAACTCAGGTTCTTGTGCTATTAGGGAGCCAAAGATTTTGAATGCTGAAAAGAAATTATAATTCGGGCATTATAAAATAATAGTAACATATTTTCATCTATACATTTGGTTTAATGTGACAGGGACCTTTGTAATATAGTGTGTACTTTCTAACAAGGAACATTGCAGATATGACAATTGATACAAAAATGCTAATACAGTGTCCAGTGGTATCTATACAACTCAACTGCCATGTTTAGTTTTCAGAGAAGTTTAAATAGAATTATTTCTTATTCTATTTTAAATTAAAAAGCATATTTGTATGATACTAAGATGTTTTAGAAGAATATGAATTTATGTCATTCGAGAAATATTTTATCATGTAAAAATATTTTTAGAAAGAGATCTCGGGCTAGTCCACTGTTTTTAATAAGCATAAGGACCAGAATTGGAACCCCAGAACACATGTGAAATATAGCTAGGCGTGGTGGCATGGATATGCGAACTCAGCTCTGAAGAGTGAGACCAGCACATCCCTGGGCCTTGCTGGATGGCCAGCTTAACTTATTTGGTGTGTTTGATGCCAGGGAGAGAGCCTGTCTGCAAAAAACATTGGGTTGTCCTTGAGGCATGACACCCAGTGTTGTCCTCAGGCCTTCACACACACGCATGTACATGCACACCTATATATACATAAGCAGTCACACAGACGCACACATACACACACACACAGAGAGAGAGAGAGAGAGAGAGAGAGAGAGAGAGAGAGAGAGAGAGAAAGGGAGGGAGGGAGGGAGAGAGAGATTTGGCATTAAAATATGTATTATTCATGTGAATTTTTCAGGTATGGAAGCTACATTGAAGGGACAGGCTCAGTGTTACAGACTGCAGAGGATGTTCAGGTACCATGTATGTTTTTAAATTTAAACTTTCTATTCAGTAATATTATCTTTAATATTTAAGAATATTAAAATACTTGAAATGTTCAGCTAACACGTTTTATTTTCTGTGGTGTGATTCTTTTACTTACTGATTTTCTTGTTAGCATTATGAAATTGACTTTGTTAGTTGACTCAGTTTCCTGTATGTTTTTATAATTTTCTAATTTTTATACTTACTGATGTGTCTTAGGGTCCTGATCAGTTCAGTAGAGCCTTTGCTTTTCTAAGTCTGTTGCCATTATTGAAGCAGTGATACAGCTGTTCACAGAGATATTCACTTGTACGTTCTGCTCCGTGTGACATGGCAGATTGCTTGTCCACTGACTTCCAGCTGCCTCACAACTGGATATGGTAAGTCTAGTCATACAGTATTTTTTAATTTCTTGTGGATTTTTTTTTTAACAGATTGAGAATGTCTTCAAATCTCTTAATAATTTGCCCCCGGAAGAAAAGATAGCTAAGTTGTCAACGCTCAAACTGCGATATTTCACACCTAGAGAAATTGCAAATCTGCAGGGATTTCCTCCAGAATTTGGTATGTGAAATCCATGAGGGTCACAGCTTTCCTTTATTAAAGCTCTCAGCATTTCAGTAGGACCTCACATGTGTGTTTCATGAGTAAATCCCTGCCAGGACAGGTGAGTTTGTGAATCCCCCTCCTGTATGCTGTGACAACTTTGGTTTTCCTGGCCTGTCTTCAGCCGTGTCTCAGTGAAGGCGCTGAGCCTTGTCTTCTAGCCTTCTCTTCAGTCATGTCTCAGTTCCCTTCTGACCGCTTTCCCTCTCCTTTAGTCCAGGAGTGAGTCAGCCCAGCCAGGCTGAGGGCAGAGTGTTGATTACTAACTCCCTCGGGAGTGGATAGGATCCCTTTCTGTTTCCATCTGTGTTGCCATAGTCTGAACTTGGTAACTCCATGCTAGCTTGTGTATGGTGGGGATCCCCTCAATTTCTCCCCTATATTTTCTTGTTATTTTTACTAACTCAGAGCTTCAAGTATGCTGCACCCAGCTACATTACCCTTCCCTTTGTTTTTTTTTTTTTAATATAACGAGAAAGGCTCTCTCTCTCTCTCTCTCTCTCTCTCTCTCTCTCTCTCTCTCTCTCTAAGTTGACCAGGCAGTAATGAGCTTGCTTTTTAGCCCAGGTGGTCCTTGAAATCATGATCTTTCTGCCTCAGCCCTCTCAGTAGCTGGGATTACAGTCAATACTACCAGGCTTGGCTAGGCTCAATTGGCATTTTCACAGTAAGAGGGTAAAGGGTAGTTGAGTTAACCAGTTGTTGGATAGGGGTTGGATTTGAGGTTGATTTTTACTTGAGTGAAGATGCATTATCAGTTATTTGCCTTTGTTGTCTACTCTAAGGAATGTGAGGGCACTCCGGAGCATTAGGGGATCAACAGCAGGGGAACTGACAAACAAAGGCAGAGATAGAGGGAGGCAAAGTCCTCACTTCACCACAGTGCAGGAAATCCAGAGATTAGCGCCATGAAGCCTGGACACTGTCCTGTGCTTACAGTGTTCCCAAGCCCTTCCCGTCCCATTGCCGCCAGCACTCTAGGTCTAAAACATCCATGTTTTCTTACACCAGGGGCTCAGAGTGCTCCCCATTCCTGGCTAAACAGGCAAAGGGAAAACTAGACCCACCCAGCATTTTTCCAGGATTAGGAGGAGGAAATCTGCCTCTGAGAACTCTGCTTAAGGATTTGAATATAGAAGGGAGACTTTTAAGTCTAGTACAGTTGTACTATTGATGCCTGTTTGTGAGGTGGATAATGGGCAAAAGAGATTAGGTTTCAGCCTAAATAATAAACTTGCAGATGAGGTCTCTTGTACACTGACAGCAAGCTGGCCATCCCATTTAACTGCTCTCAGAATGTGCTTCTGTGAGCATACACACAGCAACCAGGCTTCTCTTCTACTGCCTGTCCTTTAAAGACTTGTCATTGCTGCAGTTTATGTTTATAAATTTAGGTGTATATATAATATATATGTGTGTGTGTGTGTGTGTGTGTGTGTGTGTGTGTGTGTAACAATAAAAATTGAAAAAGACCATAATTTTAAGAGGGAACAAGAGTGGGGTCACAGGAGAGACAGGTGGGAGGAAAGGGAAGGGAAAACACTATAATTGTATTCTATCTGGTTTTATTTTTTCTTATTTTTCTTTTTTTAATTGATATTTATTGAGCTCTACATTTTTCTCTGCTCCCCTCCCTGCCTCTCCCCTCTCCCCTTCAATCCTCCCCCAGGTCCCCATGGTCCCAATTTACTCAGGAGATCTTGTCTTTTTCTACTTTCTACTTCCCATGGAGATTAGATCTATGTAAGTCTCTCTTAGTGTCCTCATTGTTGTCTATGTTCTCTGGGATTGTGGTTTGTAGCTGGCTTTCTTTGCTTTATGTTTAAAAATGACCTAAGAGTGAGTAAATATGATAATTGTCTTTCTGTGTCTGGGTTACCTCACTCAAAATAATGTTTTCTGGTTTCATCCATTTTCCTGCAAAATTCAAGCTGTTGTTATTTTTTTCTGCTGTGTAGTACTCCATTGTGTAAATGTACCACTTTTTTCTTATCCATTCTTCAGTTGAGGGGCATTTAGGTTGTTTCCAGGTTCTAGTTATGACAAACAAATATGCTATGAACATAGTTGAGCACATGTCCTTGTGGCATGATTGAGCATCCTTTGGATATATACCCAAAAGTGGTATGGCTGGGTCTTGAGGAAGGCTGTTTTCTAATTTTCTGAGAAATCGCCACACTGACATAATTTAAGATAGAAAAAATTACTATTTTCCCCCCTTTTTTGGTCATCCCATTCAATCCTCAATGTCTTAGAGATTGCTACTAAAGAAAGGCAGACCTTCCTTGGTTTATGTCACAAAGGGAGAAAGTTTAGGAGCTGAGGATTGGGCTCAATTCTGGTTTCCAGTCTGTTTTCCTACTTACTATTCTCTTCGTATTTTGAACAAGCAGATGTACTCTAAATACTTCTTAAAAGAAAAGCTATTGATTGTCTAATCAAAGTGAGTACCTCAGTCTCAGAAATCTGATTATTTTACCTCTAGAGCTGTGGTCACCATGGTAATATTGAAGCTTGGTAAGGGATTTGGAGGGCCAGAGTCAAACCAAGCTAGAATCTTTGTTTGCTCTACCTTAGATTATCTTTCCTCTTTTTGTTTTCTTTTTTGTAAAATGTAGGTAATTATAACACCCACTTTATGAAGTGTTATGACAGTTGACTGAGTTAGTGTGCTTAACTGCCTACATATTGTCCTAGAAAAATTATATTGGTTTTACATAAAAAATATTACATTTATTTGTTTATTGTGTCTATGTGTGTGCATACACATGTGCATCTACCATGATGTGTGTGTGTGTAGGTCAAAGGATACCTTGCAGGATTCTCTTTTTACCTATTTACCTAAATGTCTTTAAGTAGTGGCACTAAGTCATTTTGGTAGACCCTAGAGACGGCTACTTTTTATTTTATAAATTTCATAAATATTTTTTCTGTTTTGAAATTTGAGTTGAGTAAAGTAGAATTTCTTGAGGTTCTTCCAAATATATATGTACACAAAATACTATGAGGAATCCTCATTTTATTCCATTTAATTTTTAACATTTTTTTAGATTAAAATATAATCACATCATTTTCATTTTTCCCTTTCATCCCTTCAACCCCTCCCATGTGTCCCTCCTTGTTCTTTCTCAGATTCATGGCCTCATTTGTTTATTGTTACGTATTTTAAATTGCTGAATCCTCTTTTAAAATATATGATTTGCTTGTGTTGACAGTCTTGTCCAGATGTTACCATAGAACATGACACAACTGTCCTTCATATGTGCTTCCAACATTAGCTATGGGTACAAAAATGAACATTGTCTGAGCCATCTGTTCCCAGGCAATGATGGAATCATATCGATCTTTCTGTTCATTTTGTCCTGGTGTCTTGCTTGTCAGCTTGCTTGTCTGAGACTAGCTGGCTTTAGGAGAGGGACACTGACCTTTACTGGGAAAAGCTGCTGTCTTCATCTCATGCATTCTATGTGGTTTTGTTTTTGAAGACTTTAGTTTCTTTAATATATCAAGACTTTTTAAAATCACCTGTTAACTTAAAAACTATTATAATTTTTCTATCACTTAGTTTAGACTTTAATATCTGCACAAAATAAAATTCTGTTCCTAAACTCACCTTTTCCTTTAGTGAAGCCTTAACATTGCAAAGGATCATTCCCTAGGATAGTGTAAAAGTTCCTTGTAAACACATTTGTGTTAGTGGTTTTTGGAACTGAATAATCTTTGAGATTAGTAAGGTGCATGCCTGTGGCTCACTATCTGTACGATATAAGCTTTACAGTCATGCTTAATTGCAGATGACGGCTTTATTATAGTAATTACTGATATCTTATTACAGTTAATATAGAGTCTAATATTGGTGAAGCTACTTTACATAATGGTTCTTCATTACAATTATATGAAATTGTACTATTCTTAATGTTCTTAATTATTTCCTTTATATTATTGTTTAATTTTCTTTTGCTTCACTTGTTATGACAAATCACACTGAATGTGATTAAATCAGGTAAGAGAAAATCAGCTTATGGAAGCAAACTATGAAAACAAGCTACGGGATATATAAAGAGCTCTTATAGCTCAACAATAAAAAGAAAATAATTCAACATAAAAATGTAAAATTATTCGAATATACATTTCTTCAAAGAAAATAGGCAGATATCTAATAAACATATGAAATGGATGTTAAATGTCATTACTTATTAGAGAAATGTAGGAAAACCACAGTGAACTATTTCTTCATATCCACCAGGGTGAAATCAAACAGTGCTAACATCTCTGCAGACATTAAACGAATGTGACTCAGCAGTTTCATCTGTAGATACATATCTAAGAAAAACTCCCATAATATGTACATATTATAATAGTATCCCAGAATGGAGACAGCTCAAGAGTTTACCAGTAGATGAATGAATAATAAAACATGTCTTATCTTAATAATAGTATTGGCTAGTAGAAAGTAAGCACTGGAATTTGCTCTGAGGTGAACAGACCTGATAACGTTATGATAACTATGAAAAGACTGACATAAAGCATATCTCTTGATTTCATGTATATGAAGTTAAATTAGCCAAATCTGTAATAGTATCAAACATAGTGCTTGGGGTGAACAAAGACAAATATAGGGAGTGACTGCCACTGATGGGGGCAAGCATATTTCATTTTGAAGTAATGAAAATAAAGATGTTTGAGAACTCTATCCTAAAATGCACAAAGCAAATACTTTTTAAAAAGAGTAAATTTTGATAAGTATTGTTAAATAAAAAAAAAATTACTGAGAAAATAGTAGCCACCATTTTTCCAAAGTGAAATAACATGTTTTTGTGAACTCTGAGTATGTGTTTGCCTTAGCGGTACTCTGATATTATTTGATATAATTGTGTTATACAACACCTCTTGCTATTAGCATTATAGCATGATGTTATACAGTATTCGGGCCTCCAAATTCTCATTTATTTGTAAATTGTCATGGTCATATTAGCAGTTTACTATCCTTTGTGTTAGCTGTGCGTATAATTTCTTAGTACTGTGTTCTTAGGCAGTTTCATGTGTGAGCATCACAGAGTGTGCTTACACGGACACACTACAATGTCACTAGGTGGTCGATTGTATAGCATCGGCCTTCGCTGGCCGTGACACTGCCAAGAAGACACGAATGTATTTATAAGTGGCCATTGTGCCTTTACTAAAAGGTATCTTTTATTTCTAGGCATTAGCATTGCGAGTAACTATACTGAAAAGGCCACCTCTGTTTTCTAGAGTTTCCCGAGAAGATAACGGTGAAGCAGCGGTACCGGCTTCTTGGCAACAGTCTCAATGTGCATGTGGTGGCCAAACTCCTCACAGTCCTGTGTGAATCATTTGGAAGTTCCTCCAGTTCTAGACAGTGATTCTCAAATTCTATTTTGAGCAAATTTGTATAAAATTTAAATTAGTTTCATAGTATTTTAATTGGAAACTTATGTAATGCACGTCAAATTGTTTTCTTAAATGTATATTACCGTATCCCCAAAACTCACTTTGTTGTTTTGCCCTATGGGCAAATATTTTTATAAAGTTTTTAAGTATGTGTATGAAATATGTTTCACATGCTACAAATTAAGAATGTTTAAACTTTTATATCTATTTTAGTACTTTATATAGTATGACATGAATAATATAATGATCTTTAGAAAATCATTTTTGTACGTTAATTTTCAAGTTGTTTTATGTAACATGGAGAAACCAAGTGTACCTGGAAGCGTCATCCCTTCTGACTAGTTTCCAGAGTATTGGAAGGTGCTGTGCGTGCTATGGAAGGGAGAGATCGGGTACCCGGTGAGCTGCAGTGATGACTGCCCTGTTAGGGCATGCCCATGAGCTGTGGAAACAACCAGCTGCTCTCCCAGTTGATTTAAGGCCTGATCAATGAGATGGAACCCATGCCTGGCACTGTTATCTGGCTCAACACCCTGTGGCTAGATAGGTCATGGAACCTAGGGGTAACCTATTAGTATTATTCTGCCAAATGAGTGTAGTATTAAATCATTCCTGATGGTTTATTATTATATCATAGATTAGTGTTGCTCTCAATACAGGGAAGCTTCTTTTGGTAGCTGGCAATACAGAAACTCAAAACTGCTTAGCATGCAGAGACTGAGAGACTGTGGGGTGCTCAGTGCTAAGTGGGACATAGCACCTCCTTCCTGCCAAGGCTCAGGGATCCCTGCAGAAGAGGGAGCAGAAAGACTGTAAGACCCAGAAGTGGTTTAAGAAACCAGTGTTTCCAGGCAGAGCAGGACAGTTGCACACATGAACTCATAGCCATTGTGACAGCATGCACAAAGCCTGCATGAGCTGAAATCCCGCACAGGCTCCCAGCATGGAGAGTGCCAAAGTGGATAGCGAGTCGCACACTAGCTGAGATGCTACCTGCACTTGATAGCTGCTGGGAGACAGTGCTGTGGTTGCTGGTGTGTGGTTCACACTCCAGGCAGGCTTATACTCAAGAATATCGGAGCAGCACAATTGGACTTGATTGTTTTGTTTTGCTTCTCCACCCCCACCCCCCCACCCCCCAACCCCAAACACAGAGTTTCTCTGTGTAACAGCCCTGGCTGTCCTGGAGCTAGTCCTGTAGACCAGGCTGGCCTTGAACTCACAGAGATCCACCTGCCTCTGCCTCCTAATTGCTGGGATTAAAAGTGTGTGCCCCACCACCACCCCAGCTTCCCTACCCCTGCTGATTTAATTGGTTTTTAAGAAGACCCAAAGTGAGGAGTTGGGGAGGGAGGGTGAATATGATCCAGATAAATCGTACAATGTTCTCCAAGAATTAATATTTTAAAAAATAAAAAATTGTTTTTAAAAATCTTACTTTTTGTTAATTTCTCCTAATTGGAAACAGATTCTAATTCTAGCCTGTTGAATGCTTTACTTAGTTCTATTCCTTTTTAGCAAAAAGGCCTCAGGAAATGCAAATACAGATGAATTATCTATCTCTTCATTAATCCTGTTTGATTTTTTGATACAATGTGTCACTGTGTAGCCCTCTAGCCTGACATTTACTCTATAGACCAATCTGGTTTCTGACTGAGAGGGATCCGACTGCCCAGCCTCCAGGGAGCTAGAATTAAAGGCTGGCACTGCTAAACCCGGCCTCCCTTTAATCTTTTTTATTACTTTTTTCTTTTTTTTAATTTATTTTTTATCTTTTTTTTTAAATATTTTTATAAACCTCATTACGGATGGTTGTGAGCCACCATGTGGTTGCTGGGAATTGAACTCAGGACCTTTGGAAGAGCAGGCAATGCTCTTAACCACTGAGCCATCTCTCCAGCCCTCCCTTTAATCTTAATCTGAAAATAAGAACTCAACTGTTCTGTCTTCATTCGCGCATACTTCCTTGTAGTTTGCCATTACCAGAGTGTTTTTGCTTTGTCAGCTTTTGGGTTAAATTTGTCTGTCTTTACATTCCAAGGAATATGACGTGGCTTATGTGACAGGAAGGTCATAGAAGGAAAACATGCCACTATTCCTTCATTCTCTTGACTCAGAATTTAGCTTTTTCCTGTCTCTCACCAATGTGTTGGCGGCATCAGTAGATGAATAGATGAACAAAGTGTGGCACACACATACCCTGAAGAGCAGTCCATGCTCACTGGAATGCATGCAGGACACGTGCCATGACCTGGGCGGGCCTTGGGAAACTACTAGTGAAATAAGACAGACACGGAAAGACAGACAGTCTAGGGCAGTGTTTGCCTGGAGTTGGGAGGAGGGACCAGGAAGTCCGTGGTTAGCAGGTGCAGAACTGGGCAGATTGGGAAGATGAGAAGGTTCTGGAAGTGGATGGCACTGATGGTGCCACACTGGGAATGTGCTTAGTGCACTGAACAAAACACTTAAATCTGTTGGATGCCCAATTGCATGTTATGTATATTGTGCTGACATTTTAAAAATTGCTTTTTCTCTGAACTCAGGTAAATATGGGTTTTTCCAAGCTATAAAGCTTTAAGCTATCGATGTGGCAACAGTCACTGTCCACAGTTTATATGTGTTTAAAGGTGAACCTCACTAAAGGCTCATAATCATGACCTGAAATCATCTAGGTGCACTGTCATGCAGGTCATCTCCCCTGCTGAAAGATTCTTTATCAATAAGATGGTTTATAGTTTAACTGTAGTTATGCTATGCTTACAATTACGTGGTATTATAAGGTCCAATGCCCACTGAACAGTATTATAGTCAGTGCTGAGTTATAGTGTCTCAACTCTGAACACATTTGGTAGGTCTAGGGAACATTATGTTACAAGTTGGGAAACAAAACACGACTATATAAAAGTTTTAAGGGGCTGGAGAGGTGGTTCAGCAGTTAACAACATTCACTGTTCTTGCTGAGGACTGGAGTTGGATTCCCACCATGTATGTGCCGTGTTAGATGATTCGAAAGTGCTTCTTTCTTACCTGAAGTTTTAGTGTTCTAAAGGCAGCAGACTAATGAATAGATGAAAAGTAATTAATACTAGCAAGATGATTTACACTGGGGAGTAATTTGGGAGATGAGTAGTCATCCTGAGTGTGAGAGCTGGACCATCTGTTTGGTTTTAACATCATTGTGTAGACTCATGAGTTTTCCACACACCAAGTTAAAACAACGAGGTCCTGGTTTTGAGCTCACATTGAGTATTCAAATGTGCTTTCCTGTGTTGTTTGTTGTTGACAGAAGTGTGACTTGTGCTGGCAGTGTACCTAAGTGGCAGAGTGATCTTAGCATACTCATAGTCCTGAATTTAAACCTGTTTATGTGTGTGCGTGGGTCATGAACACACACACACACACACACACACACACACACACACAGACAAAGAAAAAGAGAAAGAAGGGAGTGGCGATAACGAGAAGAATTTACATGTAATTTGCCCTTAGCTGGGAGCTGCTTCAATTATATAACTTTGAAGCGCTGTTGCCTTACAACTTTGGACTTGGAGTGAAAGTGACAGGCTGAGCAGTGTCTCCAAGCCTGCCATTATGATGGTTTGGGTTCTTTTTAAAAACGCAACCTTTGGGCCTCTTGGCTTGTTCATCTTTTCTGTCAGCATTTACTGCCTGTGTGCACTGCGTACAGTTATCATGTCAGTTTGACAAGAATCCCTAGTCTGGTATTTTTTCTCATTCGTCACTTTTGTCTAGCATGTGTCTGTACCCTTTACATGCTTCACAATAAACACCACATACACTTTCCATCTTCAGATTAGAACAGTCAGCCTGTTGGCACCATTTTTCTTCTGTGCTACAAAAAATTTGAAATTTATAATAAAAGAATATTTTCCCTGAGTGTTTCTGTTTTTATCTTTGGAACTTTTAGGACATTTTACTGCAAGATATGTATGCTCTTCAAATATACAACCATGATTCAAACTATACATTTTTTGTTAGTTTTTAAAATTTAGTATCAATTTATCGTAGTTAATCTACCTCAAGAATTAAAATCTTCAGCTGGACATGGTGGTGCACAGCTTTAATCCCAGCACTAGAGGGGCAGAGGCAGATGGATCTCTGTGAGTTCAAGGCCTGCCTGGTCCACATGGTGAGTTCCAGGATACCCAGGGCTATGCAGAAAGACTGTGTCTCAAAAAATGAAAAATTAAAATATTCTTTAAATACAGACCTATAAAACAGTATCTGAGGAAAATCCTACACTCTTAGTACGTATGAGTTGCATCTCTATGACCTCCATGTTAAAACTCAGTCACTCGGAGGTGAGTGTACATTCTCTAAGAAATCCCACTGGAGTCAGCATTTGCTCTCAAGGTGGCATCCTCTGTGGCTCCCGAAACCCAGCATTCTTTGGGAAGAGAAGTAATGAGTTCCTTCCTATGGATTCCTGACATGAAGCCATCCTTGAACATAGTTCGAGGCAAGAGCATCCCACAAAGGCTCTGGGGAAGAGTTCAGGCAATGCTGGGTAGGGTCCAAGCAGGACTTGATCCATATATGGAGCAGATTTCAGCATAAAACTGAAAAAATTTAGGTTTCAGACAAATAGTATAATTTTTAGAATTTTAGAGTCCTGATATATACATCAAATCAGATATGACTTTTTCTGTTACTTTGTTTCCAATTTCAGTTATACAATATTTCTCAGTTGTAAATACAAAACTATAATCTTTATACTAAGTATTGATTAATGAAATACTTGGAGAATTAGATTTCTAGGGTCCATTGACCTGTACTACAGACAACTTACTTAGAAATAGTATTAAGTGAGGAGTACACACTGGATATTTTCTCTCTAACCCCCTCCCTTTTTTTTTTAACACAGGTTATTTCTGAAATTTTCTACTCAGTTTGGATCATAGTTAGATTCCAAAGCCTCAAAAAGCAAACTAGAAAGTTAGGACCTGTGGTATTACAGAGTAACTCTCCACTCGGGCACTGCCTCTGTTAAAACATATGAATTCTTCAGTACAGTGAATTTCGTTGTGATATTTTGTTACATGTGTATAAAATACTTTACTTACATCCTCACCCCCCACTGCTACCCTTATTAACCTCTTTGTCCCTCTTAGCTTCAGATGTATTTGCTCAAAAAACACAAGCATGTGCAGAAAACTGGCCTTCTTACCCATGTTCACAAATAAAATGGTTTTGTATTTACCGTAGCTTATGAGTCTTCTTTTAGTCTCTAAAAAGCTTTA